TTGGAGGGCTAATTTAGAGAATTCAAGATGGGCATCTAGGGCACTATTTTATTGTTTGTACAGACTGAGAACGTGGACAGGATCCTCGGATTGGTGAGAGCAATGATTTATATTCTTGAACCTTGTCTTCCTTGGATCATAAAAGCAGCCAGTATGGGGACTGGCTGAATGGATAAGAGGAGCAGGGAATGCATTACTACAATAAGTAAGTTTCTATCCTGAGGCTGTGGTGGGACCGTTGCAGGAAAAACACTCCTATCTTACTAAATATTTACCAGCTATTCTCCAAACTCTCTTATTGGGGGCAAGGCACTGGAACATGTGGTGGCTCCCCAGATCCAGTCACTCCTGGATGAAACTGATTATCTGGATCCATTTCAATTTGGCCTTGGACCTGGCTATGTGTTGGAAACAGTTTTAGTCATCTTGGTGGATAACCTGTGCTGGAAACTGGACAGGATGAGTGTGTCCTATTAAGTGTCATTGGACCCATCTACTGTATAATTATCTTACTGTGACTAAAACTGTCAATGGTCATTTCAAACACCATCTGAATTTGTGTTGTTTGGTCTTATGAATTCTGAGGAGATCTTGGGAACCAAGGATGACAGCTGCCAGAAACAACATGTCACATAGCTGCAGAGAATTGTCCATCTATAATGATAAGAATAGCTTTTGATTTCGATAGAAGCAACCATGTTTGCTTAAAGGCTGTCCTATTTAAAGCATAGATGCTGTATAGTGGGCAAAATGAGCATAGTGGGAGAGTGGGCAAAATGTAGCCCCAAGGCTACATGTACCCCATAAGATTCATTTCGTGGACCTGAACCCCTTCAGAAATCCCAGACTGCCCCTTCTCTCCCCCCCCCTTCCCCTCATGGTGAACTGATACTCCTAGAAGCCTCCAGCAGTGGCAATTCACATTTTGAATAGGTTACACCCCACCCCACCACCTGCTACCTGCATTTTTAACATCTAAGGTTACCAACTTGAAAACTGGCAAGGGCTCCTGTACTTTAATGGCTATCTAGAAGAGGGAATGTCAGCTAATTTTACTTGTTACCTGATTGCAGGACAAGCATCACCTGCTGAAATTTCTTCTTTTACACAACCAGTGAAGGACCAACAGCCATTCCAGCTTTCAGTCTAGCAACCCTTCCAACCAACCCACCCCCATTTTTTAACCACTTCCAGATTTTATTTTTGAGGTTCAGAGGTAACTTTTGACAGCCTGTGTAACCCATGGAGGGTCCCAAAGGCAGAAGATTAGCAATCCTAAACACTTTTACCTACACTCCTTAATACACTGAATATCTGTGGGATTTCCTTCTAACCTAGCATATCATAGGACTGCACGTGGCCTTGGTGAACACTCCCATTTTTCTTGGTCTACCTCACAGAGTTGGCATGAGAACAACTTGAGATAACTCTTACAAATGCTGTTTCAAACATCTTAGAAGAGGGCACTCATACAAATATGAAAAAGGGGTACTTGCATGAAGTAACAATTTATTTAATCCTTTGAATGGTTATTTCTTCCTTGCATAACCCTAAATGCTAAGAGGAAATTTTTAAAAATCAGGGACAAACTCCATTTAGAAATACTCTTCCTATCATTTAAACCTCTCTGATAGTTCAGAACTTTTGTAACTGTGATGCTTTAAAACAATTGATTCTGACAAATGCATTTGGATGTGGTACAGTCATGGGAAGGACTGCACCACATCCTGTCCTCAATGTATGGATTGCCTCTGTCCAGCAGAGTAGGTACTTCTATTCCTTCAGCACTTCTACACTGA